CGCTACTTTTGGAAAAGGGGTGTAAAACGAGTGCGGGACAACGATTCGGAAATGACGGGACATGAATTTACGTTAGAATTACTTCACCGTAATCCTCTACAATGTGTTGAAGTGTTACGCATGTCCCGTGAATCATTTGTCCGGCTATGTGCTCATTTTAGAGTAAACTACGCGTTAAAGGATAGCAAACATATGTCGGTCATAACCAACGTTATGTGATTATCAAGCGGAGATTTCTACACTCAAAGCAAACAATTCATAAGTTTTTTCATGAAGTGTTGGACAAAATGCTGCTTTTCGCACATGACATTATAGTGCCAACTTCTTTTAATCCGAATCCAAACATTCCGGGACATAATAGGAGGCTACGACGGGTGTTCAAGGGAGCAGTTGGTGCACTTGATGGCACTTTGATACATGCTGTTGTCCCTGCAAACAAACGGGATTTATATAGAAGTAGGGGAAAAGGCGATTGTTACCAAAACGTATTGGCAATATGTGACTTCAACATGATGTTTACGTTTGTTGTGGCCGGTTGGGAAGGGATAGCACACGATTCTAGAATTTTATCAGAAGCATTAGCAAATCCACATGCACCATTCCCGCTTCCACCACCAGGTAAATTTATTGTTATTTAAATAGTTTTATCTTAGCTTGAAAAAATAAATGACTTTTTTTTTTTGATTTTTTTACAGATAAATATTATCTTTGTGATGCCGCTTATGCAAACATTCGAGGTTTTATGGCACCGTACCGTAATGTGAGGTATTGGCTTGGAGATTTCCGTCGAAGACGTGCATTAACGAATAAAGAAAAATTTAACCATGCACACGCAAAACTTCGGAATGTCATTGAGCGTGCTTTTGGTGTCTTGAAAGCACGATTCCCTATATTGAAGAGGATGACACCATTCTCATTGGTTACACAACGAAACATTACCCTAGCATGCTTTGCGCTTCATAACTTTATAAGAAGAGAGGGACTACGTGATGAGTTTTTTGCACGATATGACGAACCAAATGTCTCGGTTCGGAATAACAATGCAGTCGTTGATAATGATGAAGATGAGATTCCAACACATGGTACTGCAGCGGACCGTGAATATATGACCCAGTTAAGAGATGAAATTGCCGAACAATTGATGCAAAATATGGAATGAAAATTATTAAAGTTTGATTGTATGAATTTTATTTAAAAATGTTATTGTAAGACTAATTTGGTTGTTTGAATTTTATTTCAATGTTTTAAGACTACAATTATTAAATTTTTGGTATTAAAAAACTATTTTCGGTTTATTAAATTATTTTATTTTAAATTTTTTAATATCTGCAGCAGTCTGCAGCCGTTAAAAAAACAAACATGCTTCTCATTACAGTCTGCAACACTTTGGTCCACCTCTTCTGCTGCAGAGGGCTGCAGAGGTGGTCCGCAGACTTCAGACAGTTTCACTTCGGAAAAACAAACAGCACCTTAAATTTGTGAAACTTATATTCAGGACCAAGAAAAAAAGTTGAAAAATCCAGATAATCCCATATCAACATTCAACATACTTGACAATATTTGAGGTATTAAAGCTATAACCTTTTTTTAGTAACTTTCTATTCAACTTTCGTTTTTTCTTATTACAACATTGTATTTTTTACATATGGAATACAATTTTCATTGCCATAAAGTACGTTGTTGTTGTTGTTGTTTTTTTTTTTTTTTTTTTTTTTAAGTTAACATTAAATTTGTAAAATGTTCATTTGAAGAAGGATAAAATGGTCATTAGTTTTCATGATGTACGGAAACAATAGTTACTTTAGAATTTCAAAGTATAATGTCTTCATAAGAAACAAAAGAAAGTAAAATGTTGCAATTGGGTAAGTCTTTCAAAGTACAATATTCCATTCAGTTATTTAAATTTATTGCATGATGAAACAAATATTATTTTTGTAGGTCCACCGGTGTTGCTCTTCCTGCTATATAAACTACTGGTCGGTCAAATAATTATGTTTTAAATGCATATAAATATGAGATACAATGGCCTGTTACTAATTTCAGCATTCATGATCTATGCATGAAGAATATTTTGAAACTAGCGTTTATTTATTTATTTATTTTGTTTAATGGAAACATAATTTATTGTTTTTTTATAATACATATAAATAATGTGCTATATCTTTTTTTACCCATAATAGATATATACTCATCATTTATTTATCCTAATTATAGTGACTTGCTGTCAAGAAGCTTATGGATTACCATTATGGGGTCTCACTCTAAAAACTACAATACTGTGTTAAAATTATACAAAGCTAAAAATTGTGGGGATTTTCAATTCTCATTATTTATTTTTATTTTTTTCCTCTAAATATTTGAAACTACAATGTTATTTTTTAAGTCGTTCTTAGCCCATTTAATTTTTATTTGTAGGTTATCACTTCACTACTAAGTATAACAGTGAACTCATCATTTTTGGCTACTTATATCATCAACAAGCTGATAACTTTTCATTATATCACAACATTTATTTCATTATACCACTTATTAAAACCCATAACAATTGAGTACTAGATTATTCTGCATTTTGGGACTTCATGAAAATTTTAGAGTTTGATTTTGCAAGTATGTTGTTCCAAAACTGATATCGTTTGGATCTACACCCTCACTTATGGTGGTGGCATTGTTTCTGTAAGCATTTCAATTGAACTATTTAATGTTTTGGTTTATATATTTGATAGGAACGTAATGATGGTGATTTTTAGATGTGTAAGGCTATGATTTTGTATCAATTTGTGTTTAATAAATTTTATCTCACCACATCATATAAATGATTTATACCATGTTTGATTCTAACTATATTGTATAAATTTGTTGAAGACATAAAATATATTGAATATTTGGAAGGTTAAAATGGTCATTTAGTTTTATTCAAACTTTTTGTTCGGTTATAACAAATAAGAAATTTATGTTAATTCAACATTTTGACTTTTTATTTCCATTATCATTGTTTTATTACTTAAAGTACTTAATTATTCGTCATTTCAATCATGTCTTATGTGAATATATCGTTTTATAATTTATTAATATTTATTACTGATTACTTAATATTTTTTTAACCATAGCAATGTACTTTCAAAGTGCATTGCTATTTTCGAAGTACATTGTTATTTTGTATTAAAATGCAAAATATGACATTTTAATAAGATTTTCAAACTATTTTTCAAGAAAATAGTAATAGGACCATTACTATCTAATATAACAATGTATATTTTTAGTACAATGCTATTTTGAGTTATCTTATGTAAATAACTAAAGGCAAACCTTCATTACTGAATAAACTAACCTGAATTGAGTGGTGTTGGTATATCGGGGTTACCTGAAGATCAAACAGTCATCCCCTTTAAAAGTGGTATACATGTAACATCTTATACATCTCACAAACACACTTCAATTCTTAATATACATACCCGATAACAAGCAACCACATATGTAAGATGCATTTCATCAAACGCATGTATTGCACATAATGGTTTGGTATACATGAAACCAAAAACCATTTTATATCTTTTTTGTCCACTACGTTAATAGTATATTGTTGTAAAAGTACTCGATATATTGAAAGTGCATTGCTATATAAATTAGAATAAGTATATTGCTATTATGGTTTCCTTATTTTTTTAATCTGGTTTTATTTTGGTTTTGTATACCTTTAAGTTCATAATTGTTGTTTCTTTCTCATTCATTACAGATTTACAAAAGACGGGTTATAATCTAGTTTTTAATAAATCCATACAGTGGCGAAGCTAGTAGGGGGGCATGCAGGTGCTCCCCCCCCAAACTTGTTTACATGTAAAATATTCTTATATATGTATGTTATTCAAACCAAACATTGCATATTCTTTGACTGTTAAATAATTTATAATTTCTTTCAAACTAAACACATATGTAGACATATCAATAACCTCTGTATCCTTAACTCTATTTTTAATTACAAATATCTATATATTTTAAAAAAGAAAATGATTTGAGAGAGATAAGAATGCAAATCGGAAGTTCTAACAAACTTCCAAATTTTTGGAAAGTTTTAATATACTTTCAAAAAAAAAAAACACTCACTCCTTATTCCTCAAATAAAAAGAAGTTTAAAATCTTTGAAAAAATTATTTAAACCACATTCATAGGGATATTGTGTGCTTCTTCAAGCTCTCTGCCCCTCCCGTCTCCGATCTCACCTTCTTCTCCACCTATTGACCTTCGTTAAAGTGCATTAATGGCTGTTATAACTCTGTGTCTCCACTTATCAAACACAATGTCAACTAAAACTGGTCGTCGGTCGCCTCTATGGCTTTCCCTCTCAGCTCTCGCTCAATGATGTGGATTCGTTGTATTGTATGTCTCTATCACGTATTTTTCTATTCAATGTTTCTTTACCTATGCATAACTAGGAGATAGAGTAACAGAGTAATTGAGTTTTGACTTGATAAAGTAATGAGTAAAGATAAGGCAACCGACCCAATCAGTACCTATCATTACCCCTTCTTAACTTTTTTAATTGGACATATTTATCTCATAAATTTACTGTAAGTTATCGATTTTTTTCATGTTAATAACTTCATGTGTTAGTTTCCTATGATATATATATATATATATCATAGGAAAAAGACATTTGATGCCTTGCTTATTTTTATTTTTAGGTAAAGGAAAAACACATTTGATGCTTTGTTTTATATATATATATATATAGATATATAATATATATATATATATATATATATATAACAAAGCATCAGATGTGTTTTTCCTTTACCTAAATATATATATATATATATATATATATATATATATATATATATATATATATATATATATATATAAAATTTATGGCTCCAATCCTGAATCCATGACTAAAATTCTCTTTTGACGACTAGGCAATGGGAACTCCAACAAACCAGTTGTGGCCCTTGTGCTTTTTACTTATAAAAAGAAAAGTATTAAATGTCATGAAATCTTAGCCCATGGCCCAGTTGGGCCTACATCACTTGATGAGTCATGAGAGTGAGTTCATGGTGACGCAATTAAAACGGCGCCTGAATTTTTGTATGGCGAGAAAAGAGAAACACGCAGCAAAGTACCACTTTTCCCGCCACTGCTCCGCCGATGATTCACTCATCGACTCCGCCGGTCTCCCCCAAAACCAACACCACCACCGCCGTCCAGATCTGGAATTAATCTCCCTTCCTTCATCGAGTGGTTCTTTAATCATCGAGAAGGAGAATTTCGAGATTCATTACGTTGTGATCCTTTGACGATCACCGTTACGCCTTCTCCGATTGGTTTTATGACGCCTCCAAACGATCGATTTTCTGATGCCTTCTTCTATAGATTTTTGATCTCTAGATTTATCTCCGGGCTGTAGCAGGTTCGATTGGAGCCTTTGAGGTGCCCTTTCAGGTATGCTTCTATCTATAGGTTGTAGCGGATCCTTCATTGATGTGCATGGATATTGATCTAAATTTAGACAATGAAGATGCATATAATTTAGCTTGCAAATGGGAATATATCAAAGAAAATGTTGCAGAAATTATGAAAAGAGAAGTCGAGAAGGTGAAAATGGAGGCCCGAGGGGCAGTAGTGTGGTTGTAACTCGGGGATCTTGACATTGATGATGACGTAGTTCTCTCCTCTGATTTTCAGGCAACAGTTTTGCGTTTTGCTGCTCAAATTCTGTTGGACTTAATAGCATTTAGTCTGTGCAACAACAAACTTAAGGTCCCCGAGGCAATTACCAAGGAAATCGTGAAGTTCAAACAACTTAGAGCTCTCTGTATAAACGATAATCCAATCCTACAGAATTTGTAAGTTTCTATTTTGCATATAGATCTATTTGCTAATATTTTTTTAACTCATAGCATTGAAAATCCAATCATACAGAGTTTGTAAGTTTCTCTTTAGCACATCACACATCAATAATACCAAAGGAATCCACAGTGAATATTGAACAAGAACTGGCATTTAAGACCAAACTGAACCACTCATTAGAAGTAGTGAATGCCATAAACAACAAAGTTTTTAAATTAAAAAAAAAAGAGGAACAAGATTTTAAAATCACAAGGAAATGGAACACGTTTCGCCAACAACAAACACAATCCTTAATGTACGAAATTAATCAAAAGGTAAAAACCGAGTATTTCTTCCAACACATGTATTACAAACTACAAAAACTGTTATTGTTGTATGTTGAAAAAAAATGATACCGAATAGGAAACAAAACGGGGAGAAGAAATGTACATAACACAGCCTTGACGTTGCCATCAACGGTAATATAGAAAATGGGCAACCAACTTGATATGAAAAGTGTTAGTGATGGAAAAACCTAACAAAACTATTTCATGGAAGGACAAAAAACAGTACAAAACAAAACATAACGGGGTCTTTAAGGGTATGACTTACAAATCTAATGTTGGATTGGTTAACAAGTATAAGCTTCACGTGTATAAAGACCTATGTATATGAGGAATCAGGGGTGGTCTTAATGATGTCTGAATTCTGATGTGGTTGTTACAGGGAGTTTTTGGTATGTGATGATAATGGCCTCTAGAGCAATTTTAAGGCAGAGACACCTTCTTCTTCCCAATTACCTCTATCATGTCTCTGTTAGTTCATTCTCCACCAAGTACTCAGGGGTGGGTTATGATCCTCTTAAAGCCTTGGTGTTGGACAACAAAAAGAAGCAAGATGCTGCATGGAATGAAAAAGTTGGACATATGAGGGTATGGCAATCTATACATTATACTACTACTACTACCACCACAAGTGCAACAGATGATAATAATAAGAAAAAGAGAAAAAAAGAAGCATCCCCTGAAGAATGCGATCAAGCTGTTGAGGGCTTAAGCAGTGCCAAGGCTAAAGCAAAAACCAAAAAGGTGAAGGATGCAAAATCCATTTTCCACAGGACTTGTGGTGTGTTATCGGGTATTCGTCCAGCTCTAAGAGCTGTGGCTTCCATGAGCAGGTAACTTTTTCTGTTAAAATTCCAACAAGTGTTAGTGTTAGTGTTTGTGTAAGTCTCATTTGTTCTATAACTTTGTATTGAGAAGGGAAGATTGGGGTAAGAAAGTGAGTCACTGGAAAAATGAATTTGTATCAAGCATGAAGCATTATTGGTTGGGGATTAAGCTCCTTGGTGCTGATGTGAGGATCAGTTCCAGAATGCTTCTAAAGCTTGCCAATGGAAAGAGTCTCTCAAGGAGAGAGAGACAGCAACTCACACGAACCACTGCAGATATCTTTAGACTTGTTCCTGTTGCTGTTTTTATCATCGTACCTTTCATGGAGTTTTTGCTTCCAGTATTCTTGAAAGTATTCCCCAATATGTTACCTTCTACTTTTCAGGATAAGATGAAAGAACAGGTATCTTAATTGCTTCAACTACCTAGACCTAGTCTTCTAAAACTCTTCAAAGCTTTTCTTTTTATGGAGGAATTTTTATCGAGTTGTGTGGACAAGTGTGATGTTTGGTTTTTGTTGTAGGAAGCATTGAAAAGAAAGCTAAATGCAAGAATAGAATACGCAAAGTTTCTTCAGGATACAGTTAAAGAGATGGCAAAAGAGATCCAAAACAGCAGGAGTGGAGAAGTTAAGAAAACAGCAGAGGATCTTGATGAATTTCTTAGCAAGGCAAGAGTGTAGTAATCACTAATCACCACTTCCAAAGTATGCTTCTTTGTTTACAAATTTGCAATGTGATGATACAGGCCAGAACAGGTGCTGTTGTTTCCAATGAGGAAATATTGGGATTTGCAAAGTTATTCAATGATGAACTTACACTTGATAATATCAGCAGGTTGAGCTTTCAACCTTTCTTGTATATAATTATAATATATCAATGTTTCCTTTTTTAACCCTGATGTGTTGTTGATTAGGCCTCGTTTAGTGAATATGTGCAAGTATATGGGAATCCAACCCTATGGGACAGATGCTTACTTGCGATACATGCTTCGCAAAAGATTGAGATGGTGAGATTTCTTTCTTATTTGATATATAAATTTGTAGTAAAGTTACACTGTTTTTTACCATTTTATGAGTTTGTTACAAATTTGGTAAACTGAATAATTGTAGTGTCCTTGCATTGCAATTACAATGAGAGTTTGGTTTGTAGGATAAAGAGTGATGATAAGATGATTGAAGCAGAGGGTGGTGTTGATGCTCTCACTGATGATGAGGTTCGTGAAGATTGTAGAGAGAGAGGCATGGTTGGATTACTCACTGTGGAGGAAATGCGTTACCAGGTTTTCATGTTTGAAAATATATTTTTGTAGGCAGAGTTCAAATTAAATTATCATTTGCATGGAAAAAAAATCAACACCACAAGAACATTAAGCAATTTCTTTTTATGGAATAGGTTAATGAGTGTTGTAATCAATCCATTGAGAAATTTTGTTTTATGAATGTTTTGCAGCTGCGTGATTGGTTGGATTTATCTCTTAATCACTCTGTTCCATCTTCACTCCTGATCCTTTCCAGGTTAATAATAATAATAAAAAAGTAGTAGAACCGAGATTCCATCATGAAAAGAAGAATATAATTATTGTAGTGGAAGGATGCTAATAGGGATTTGTATGATTTATGTTTTTTTTTGCAGATCTTTCACTGTATCTGGAAAGTTAAAGCCTGAGGAAGTTGTCCGAGCTGCATTGTCTTCATTACCTGATGAAGTTGTGGACACTGTTGGTGTTACATCATTGCCATCTGAGGACTCTGTTTCAGAAAGAAAGAGAAAGCTGGAGTTCCTTGAAATGCAAGAGGAACTCATCAAGGTTACAATCCAATCTCTTCTGGAATGAAATGGAAATACCCATATTTTGACTTTGCTAAAGGAATGTATGTATGTAATCCAACAAAGAATCATAACATGTAATTGATATTATAGGAAGAAGAAGAGAAAGAGGAAGAGGAGCAAGCGAAGAAGAAGGAATCTGTTGATGTGGCATCATTAAAAGAGGAGCTGATTAGCATAACAGCCTCAGAAGCACAGGAAGAGGCAAGAGCAAGAGCATTAGAAAAACAAGAGCAGCTCTGTAAAGTCAGTGAAGCTTTGGGTGTATTAGCTTCTGCATCTGTAAGGATAATATAAAGGAGAAACAAATTGATTAATTTGTGTGTGGTGTTTAATTAATTAATTACCTTTGTGGTGTTAATTTGTGCAGTCTGTGAGTAGGGAGAGAGAAGAGTTTCTGATGCTTGTCAACAAAGAGGTTGGTTTATATGTTATATATCCTGTACTTTACTTGTTGTATATTAATAATACAATTAATTATGGCTGGAGACGGTGTTAGTGAAGTATAGAATAGAGTTATTAATTAGTTGGTGTGGTGGTTGCAGATAAATTTTTATCATAGTATGATGGAGAAAGAGGGAATTGATAGCGGAAAAGAGGCGATGGAGGCATATAGAGCTGCACGCATGGAAACTGAAGATTCAACTACTGATGAACAACCTGTAGCTGATGAGGTCTCTTCAGCCCTCATAAACAGGGTACGTAACTAACAAGACATTTATCTATTAGTTTCCCCTCTTAACTCTATTTAACTCATGAGTCATTAGTCATGACACACGCTTGCTGCTTTATTATTATTATTATTATTATTATTATTATTATTATTATTATTATTATTATTAGGTTGATGCCATGCTCCAAAATCTTGAGAAAGAAATTGATGACGTGGATGCAAAGATTGGTGATCGTTGGCGAGTGCTTGACAGGTATGCTGTTCACATTTAATTTGGGGTGGACTTTCCTTAATTTGTAACATCATATTTAATACATTGGTTTACTACTTTAGAGATTATGATGGAAAAGTGACTCCTGAAGAAGTGGCATTTGCAGCCATATACTTGAAAGATACTTTAGGCAAGGAAGGGGTTCAGGAGCTTATCACCAACCTTTCCAAAGATAAAGGTCACCCTTCCCATCCCCATCTTACTTTACAACTCGTAACAATTTACTCCAATTGATTTCCTTCCACCCTCACTTACAAATTGTTAATGGAATAGAATTCCATCCATTTGGCAACCAAACAGCACCCCATGGAATGGAATCTCGAATTCCAGTTCCTTGAGAATCCACCAACCACACCACACCCTAATAACTTTGTTTTCATGCCCAGCAACTTAACTTAACTTAACTTGTATGTGTATGTGTATGTGAATGACAGAGGGGAAGATTCTTGTTGAAGACATAGTGAAATTGGGCAGTCGGGCAGAAGATGCTGACTGATTGATCTCAATTCAATTCTCTCAACAACCACATATGAGATGAGATGAGATGAATAATGGTATTGTATTCTTTTGTTTGATTTTGCTTGTAACTAACTAGTACATGTATGACTTCCAATACCTTTTTTTTTAGCCAGATTGTGAGGCTAGCTTGCTGAGCTGAGTGGCATAGGCTTTGAGGTCTGAAAGTCTATCTACCTATGCTCTTAATTAATGACACTCACTTTCTCTAGGCACTGAAAATTTTGTTGCTTCTGTTGGATCATATGTCAATAACAGAGTTATGAAGCCTGGACACCTTTTTTGCTCAAGGGACATCATGTTCACCCTGGGATTGATTCATGATGGGATCGCCTATGAATGGGGTATACCTTTTTTTTTTTTTTTTTTTTTTACATCAATAACAATTATTTATTTATTTATTTTTAAATTTTTGCACACCAAAGAGAATGTGTTGTGTTACTGGTAGTAGAAGAAATGCAAAATCCTTACAGCCTCATTTAGATACTCTCCTAATTCTTACAAACCTTCTTCATGCTTCTTTATCTGTAAGTTTGCTGGTATTAGAATTTTGGGTTTCATTTTGTGGTGCTTTATTGACTACAAGAACATTAAGAGATGTTTGTTTTGTAGAATGTTTTTTGAATGAATGAAATACATCAAATATTAAGGAATCATAAACCATAATGTGCTTAGTTGAAGCAAAATAGAGCTGATTTCATTAGTAAATCCTGAATAATTTTTTAGACTTTTTCATGTCTTTATTTTTTTACAAGAACTTGAGGAAATCATGGATGTCATTTGACCATTTACAATGGTTTTAACTGTCTAGAATGTTCGTTCAAAATTCTCCCATAATCCTCATATGGAGAAATAATATGAGCTAATGGTGCTAATGCCAACTAAGTTAACTTATGAGTTCAAATAATAATTTAATAAACACTTATAGCTTTTCATCTATCATTTCCATTTGATTGGATTAAATATTTTTGTGAATATTTTCGCTTGAAATCATGTCCGTCCCAACATTTATAATCTTTTGAAATTTATAAATAGTATATCCATATATGTTGATGCCAAACCAAAAAGTTTATTATTTTTTGGGTTGAATAATCATTTGATTTCAATTTTTATGATTTACTTTAAGTTTTTTTGGGTTGCTAAACCATTCGGTTTTGGTTTTTATGGTTTAGTTTTAGTTTATTTGGTTTCAAAACTATTCAATTTCATTTTTTGTTTGTGTTGAAAAACCCAACTATTTTATTTGGGAATGCAACGTTTATACATGGATCATTTTGATAATTTAGTCTAAAAAATAGGGATCAGTTTGGTTCCGTTTTCTGTCAGGTTTTTTCCAATAAAACAAATCCACCCGTAAAACGTAAAACTTTAGTTTTTCAAAAACTATAAATCATTCGTAAAAACTCACCCTATCAAAACAGTCAAATTAAAAAAAACATTGTGAGAGCAAATAAGCCATTCAAAAAAAAAAAATCAACAAAAATGGTACCTTTAACAACATTTTTTTAATTTGAACAAAAATACTATATTTTGACAATAATTTGGTTTAACTCAGTTTTTAAAATTAACATATTTGACTTGAATTTACAGATCCAGATAAAACTTTTATTAACAAATAAATAGCTTTTTAATACAATTTAAACTTAAACGATTAAACCAAAAAATAACGATGTTATTTTTTTATTTTATTTTATCAGTCTTAAAATATAAAAAGCACCTTGTAAAAGCTTAAAAAACGTTTAAAAAAAAGAAAAGAATGTATAGACGGAATAAGGAAATAAAATATGTTACCGTTGCGTTGCCACGTAAACCGCCCTCAGAAACCTACAAATATCACGACCACCACATCATTCTGCACTCCCTTCCTTCTTCTCCAACAACAAGCTACCACATGAAACGTCTCTTCGACCCACGTCTGTGTTTTGCATACTTAATTTGGTTTTTCGTTTGTCAGTTGTCTTCTTCTTGATTCTTCTTTGATAGATCTTTTCGAAGGGTTTTCAATTTTTTCTACTTTAGAATTAGGGTTTTCGAGTTTCTTGGTTTTCAGTTTTGAAAGGCAACGGTTCCTTGTACAAAAGTTTCCTACTTGAAAATTAGGGTTTTCGAATTCTTGATTATAAGTTTCTTGTTTTTCATCCTGTTCTTCGTTTAGAACAGAGATAATCTTCGAATCTTTTGGTTTTATCAAATTGCCGTTATTTTGGCTAAGTCCATTGATCACGTTCTTGATCCTGCTTAAGTTTATTGCTCGACAATCTTGTTGAACTATTTTGAACTAAGAAGATACAGAGCGAATGATAGTGATCTTTTGATTTTATTCTTTTAAACTTCTTTTTTATGTTCCTTTCCTGTGATAATGAAGCTGTTACGGGTTTTTCTGAGTTATTCCTTCTTATGTTGTTAAATTTTTTTGGGTTATCCCTATAACATTTTCTACATTTTATGCAATAAGGCCTCATGGTCTTCTTATTTGGATATTAAAGTTCTGTTTTCTTATCTGTTCACATAATTTACTTTCTTGGAACTTATTTCTTTCTTTTTTCAATCTGTTATTGTAATCAAGAATTTCAACTCTGTTGATAACAATCTTTTGGTGACATTAGAGCTTTTTTTAGGTTGTTGAAGCAAAAAACAAAAGATAGCAGTGTAATGAATTTTTTTCTTTATTAACTTTCTTGTATGAATCTTAATATCATTCGTTTTTACTACAGTTGCTATAATAGTGGAAAATACACATATGTTTACTGAAATTCTGTTCTTGTCAACAGATGCTTGGTGTTAATCTGCAGTTTATCTGGTTTGTGCATTCTTATTCACCCCTTTCTATTTCATAGCTTTTACATTTATATGCAAAATTAATCTTCTTTAAATGGGTTATCTTATCCCATATTAACATAATTTCATCTGTTTGATAAAATTTTGGATTTATCACCTACTATAATAAATCTGCATTTGTAATTTTCTATCATTTTATGCATTAAAAGGGTAATTTTGTAATTTTATGCATTTAAATAGTAAATTTTGTCATTTTCTGCTTTAAAAGGGTAATTTCTATCAACTTCTGCATTTAAATTGTAATTTCTATCATTTTCTTCATTCAAAGTGTAATTTATGTATGTTTCTGTATTAAAAAGGCAACTTTTTATAATTTTCTACATTTAAATTGTAATGTCCGTTATTTTCTGCGTTAAATGGGTAATTTTTTCATTTTTTGCCTTTAATGTCTAGTTTGTGTAATTTATATTCATTAAAAAGGGTTTTGCATTTAAAGGATAATTTCTTAAACTTTCCTCATTTAAAGCGTAATTTCTGATATTTTGTGCATTTAAAGGGTAGTATCTATCATATTTTCTGCATTTACAAAGTATGTTGCAATTTCTATTTTCAAAGCTTTGTTTATTTTAAGAGGTTTAAAGTCTTCTCTTTGAATATAGACATGTTAAAATGGAAAGGGATGAAGTATATTATATGCTAAGAGTTTTGTTTTCTTTTTGGTGATTCATGCAAGGTGAAAATACTCAAATAAAAAATAGCAGTACATTGTTATTTATTGGACTTCATTTTTTTTTCTGTTGCATTTTTATTTATTTTAAGTCCATTGCATTTGTTATTTTGTTTGAAGTCTATTGCATTTGTTTTTGGTGAAACAACAATGAACTTTATTTTTTGTTTTCTAATATAATAGCATAATACCTTTATATTTTTTATATACACAAATAAATGGTAGTACATTGCTATTTATTGTATTAACCCCTAAATTAATGTTTACTCCTTAATTAGTATTTTTGTAATCAAGAAATAAAGCCAAAATATGATGCTATATTATCCAATATTGTATACAAAAAAAATCATTTTAATATATCAACTGTGTTGTGCACGTATATCAATGTCATTTCTATGATTTATTGTTTTTTATTATACTCAAATGTGTATTGCATCATATAAACTTATATTTTTATTAAATATCTGAACTTACAAAACATAAATTGGATATTCATAACGGTGTATGTATTTATTTTAAAACAAAATTAAAACTTACTGAAAAAACTTCTATCTGTGTAAATTATTAATTTTTTTTTGCAAATATTTGATTACTCATTGTGCATAGTGTTTTTCTTGCTCAATCGTGGTTTCCACAGGTTTAAGCCTAGTTCATTAATAGGTGTTTCCTTTTTTTGGGTGTCTTATGTCAATTCTTTGTTTTTTCATAAATGTTTGTTGAATATCAGTAATGGCACGTTGATTGATCATGCTCTTTATTAAGTGCTTAACTCATTAACCTAATTAATTTCAACTTGCAAATATCTATGTTATCATATGAATCATGTGGTGTGTAAGTTTTGAGTTTCTATTGTTTCTACAAGATGATAGGATTGTGGACCTTCATGTGAGTGTGTAGTCAGTTTGAAAATCTCTTCAAATTCTTTTTAGGTTTTTGTATATTTTGTGTATATTTTGGTTGTATATTCAGTCAAGATCCTGCTTTACTAAAGTCTAAAAAAGGTCAGGCATCATTAATTAGGTAGTGTTTGGTTTGAGGGAATATATGTTTATCAAGATCAAAAAGTTGTTCAATTTTTTTCACCATTTGTCTTCCTCATTGCAAGTGGAGAGTGGTGTGGTTTATCTAATTAAGTCTGTAAAAGAACTCACTGTAATGAACATCCAGAGTCCAGACTTCCATTTTCATGTGTTTTGGTACCATTTTTGGTTATTGTTTATCTTTATTTTGTTAGCTAAGTTATTTTGTTGTGGTTTGAAAGATCATCTCATTCTTTGTCTACAGTTCTGCATATATGCATCCAAAGATTCAGTCTTTGTCTACAGTTTTCCATTATCAACCGATTCATTATGAATTTTAATAACATCTAGTTTATTTGAAAGTCAGTTCTTGTCAACCGATGCTTGGTGGTAAATTCCATTCTTATTTTCCTCCTTTGTTCTAATTCATGTGCATCCTTTCTATTTTATAGCTTTTACATTTTCTTTTTGACAAAGTTAATCTTCTGTAAATGGCTTATCTATCACACACACACACACACACACACATATATATATATATATATATATATATATATATATATATATATTCATTTGCTTAATAATTTATTGGATTTGTTTATTAAGAAGCAAGTCCAAGAAATGCCTCTTCAACCATATCTGTGTTTTTTATATTTTGTTTTATCATCTGTCCATTGTCTTGTTCTTGATTCTTCTTGAATGGATTTTTTCAAAGGGTTTTGATTTTTGAATGGCAGAGGTTCCTTATATACATTAAGTTATAAAGTTGGAAGCTTTATACATTAAGTCATTTAGAAGAGTCAGATCTGAGGTTTTGAGCTTTCTTGGTTATCAATTTATTTTTTTCGTCATGTTCATTTTTATGCAGAGATAATCTTAAAATCTTATTTTGGTTTCATTTATTTAGAAGAGTCAGAAGTGGACTTTAGAGTTAGATCGTGACACAACACGTTCCCGTCCTGAATGTGAAGTGGGTAATGAAGAAAGTGGTGGTAGCTCGAAAAGATCAAAGACTACTGAAGAAGGGGAGTATTGTGTCCATTCCAACCCAGAAACGCCAACTAGTGATTGTTCAACAGTTAAACGTCCAACAGGCAGAGATGCAGCAAAAAAAAAGGGAAAGGTAAGGCTTCTAACGAAATTGTTACAGAACTTCGTGCAATGAGGCTTGCTAGAGAAAGTGAACTTGAAGTCATGAAAAAAAGAATCGACTTGGATAAAGAAATGCAGCAACAAAGAATCGACTTAGACAAGGAAAGGGAGCAAAAAACAGATGAAAGGGAACTCGTCAAGATGCAACTTGTGCATTTGAACACACTGCTACAAAAGGAGCATTTATCGCTTGAAGAAGAAAACATGAAACACTTTCTAATGTCGAAGTTTTATGGAAACTAATTATCGGTCATTATGTGTTTTATATTTCCAGTTTGTCTTTTAATTAACTTGTAAAATATTTTATTATGTAGTTTTGTGTGTTATGTATTTGTAAGATATTGTACTTTTGTATTTCACGTATTTGTAATATATTTTATTAAGTAATGTTGTTTATAAATCTGTTTTGCACATGGAGTTGTCAGTAGGCCAGTAGCACACTTTGTCATCTACCAAATCGAATATTATCTTTATTTCCATGTGTCACTTTTGTATTGGATGCTTAGATTTTATTTAGATAAACTAATAGAACATTATCTTTATTTTTTATCATTATCTTTTTAGTATAAATAGGTATATCACTAGGTATATCACTGGCATACTTTGATATCCAACACTAACTCTTCATTTCTTATCTCTTTGAAAAATGTCTCATAATGAAAACTCATCAAGTTCGAATGAATATTCAGAATGGGAAACACGGGTTGTTCAAAATAATCGACAACTCGATGAAATCATCACTGAATTACTCATACAAGATCATCATCCCAGAGCAAGAAGGAGGTATTGCGATCGAGAACGTGAGCAGGGTGAGGCACGTTTAATGGAAGACTACTTTGTTGACAACCCAATGTATGATCAAGCAACCTTTCGTCGTAGATTTCGTATGCAAAGACCACTATTTCTCCGTATAGTGACAGCTGTTACAGCCAATGACCTATATTTTCAACAAAGGCGTGATGCCACAGGTAGACAAGGTCTTTCACCATTGCAGAAATGTACGGCAGCTATGCGGGTCTTGGCGTATGGGACATCAGCAGATGCACAAGATGAATATATGAGAATGAGTGAAACTGTAACAAGGAATGCTGTAATAAAGTTCGTAGAAGGTGTCATTACATGTTTCGGTGAAAAGTATCTCGTAAGGCCAAATGAAGTTGATTTGGCAAGACTACTTCATGTAGGGGAGGAACGTGGATTTCCAGGTATGATAGGAAGCATTGATTGTATGCACTGGACATGGAAAAATTGTCCCACTGCTTGGGCCGGACAATATGCAGGTAGAAGCGGTAAACCAACAATCATTTTGGAAGCCGTTACGTCGTATGACTTATGGATATAGCATGCATTCTTTGGAACACCAGGTACGTGCAATGACATTAACGTCCTACATCGGTCTCCAATTTTTGATGATGTCTTAGCAGACCGGGCACCAAATGTGAGTTATGTCGTGAATGGTCAGGAAAATAATATGGCATATTATCTCACTGATGGCATATATCCCTCATGGGCTGCTTTTGTCAAGTCAATAACTTCCCATCAACTTCGAAAACACAAGTTGTTTGCTGAACATCAAGAGGCCGCTAGAAAAGATGTTGAACGAGCATTTGGAGTTCTACAAGCTCGTTTTGCATTTCTTCGACACCCATATCTTTTGTGGGACAAGGATATGATGGGGAAAATTATGATTGCATGTATTATCATTCATAATATGATTGTGGAGGATGAACATTGCACATACCTTCACTATTATGATCCATCCGAATTTCTAAATGACAGGCCTACAAACCGGAAACGAAGAACCTATATTGAAGATGACGATCAAAATTTAGAATATTCCACTCAACGAATTGCAGACCTATCCAACTATATGACCAATAGGGTACAACTTCGCAACAGAGAAGCTCATAACATTCTGAAAAACAATTTGATTGAGCATATATGGCAAAAATTTGGCATTGATGGATAATTATGTAGTTTGCATCTTCGTATCTGTAATCTTGTATTTCATGTTTTAATTGTAACTTTGTTTATCTATTTTATTAAGTTTGTTTTATAAATATAAAATATTTTTTTTAGTTTTATATTTAAAATAAATAATTTATTAATAGAACTAAATTAAATATTTTTTAATTTTTCTAATAAATATTAGTAGAATAAAAAATAATCTTAAAATTTAATATTTATATAATAAAAAATGGTTTGAATTGGTTTGCTAATGGGTGTAAGAAGTTGGGTTTAGTTGGGTTGGGTATGTGGAAGAGAGAGAAACTATTTAATTAATGGATAGTTTGGTTGGTTTTAGTTGTGAATGGGAGTAGTCTAAGGCATCTAATGTTGACAAATTGTACTATCAGTTTTCTTATTATAAGCGCGTTTCCCTTTGAAAAATCAACCCAATTATAGCATTGTTGCACTTTGTTCATTGAATTTTGATGTACTTTGTTCATGCTTTTATACTTTTCCTTTTTATTTGAAGATAAAAGTTAGGTTTTCTTCTCTATTCACCTAATCTACTTTCTTGGAACATTTGTCTTTCTTTTTAGTCTATTATTGTAATCAACAATTTCAACTCTGTTGATTACAATTTCTTGGTGACATTGGAGCTTTTTTAGGTTGTGTAGTTAGTTGTTGAAATAAAACCAAAAGATAGCAGTGTATATAACTTTTTTGTTATTAATCTTCATATCATCTTGTTTTTTTTTTCTACAATTACTAAATGGGTTAAGCACATAATCTGTACAACTATGTATGGCAAATGTTTTTTTTACTCAATCTGAACAACTATGTAAATAAATATTTTTTCCCTTACTCTATACATAATGACATAAAGGGTTCAGCTACTTAGTATTCATAGCAGTGAAATGTAGAGTATTAAATGCATTAGTACTTTCATCTTTATAATGTTGTTTCTATGTTAGCATCAAATGCATTAATACATACTTATTTTCTTTTAAATGATAATGCCTATTTGAGTTTAAAGAGGAATGGGAAAAAATATGTTTATATGTGAAATACCATTTTTTATTTTCTTTTAAACGTTTTTGAAGTTTCAAATATGTTTATATGTGAAATACCATTTTTTTCGGGTCTCTCTATAAGCTTTTATTTGCTCGTCTTTTTGCTTGTGAATATTAACATCTCTCATCTCATAATTTGTGTCGGGATTTGAGATGTTGATTGATGTGGCTAACTTGGGATTTTGTTTGGTCTACCACCTGTTCGATGAAATGCTTAAGAGAACAATATTAGGCTAAACCTATGGCTAGCATCAAAATACTTCAAAAATATACTTGTCAGTTTATTTGTTAAAAAGAAGCAACAAACACCATGCTTGGATTTCATGATCCAAGATGAATCTTTGAGGGTAAGAAACGTTTAATTTAGGGGGTGTTTGCATTGGGTTTTGAAATAGATTATGCAATTTGGAATAATCAGAATTAGATGACCTTTTATAATAATAAAAAAAAACTTGCAGAAATTAGTGTTTAGAAGTGTGATTACTCTTGCCGTGTGATAAATACTTGGTCTTGTTTATTTATTATCATAGCATCCTACATTTACATGTTAGCTCATTGTTGCTATTAACTGTGTAACAAGATTCTCTATTGTACATGATAATAGAAAATTAACATAAATATGATTGATAAACATAGTATGATGATTATATGAAATAAATAATGCTATGTAAAAATGTGTTTATTGTGGTTGGAAGTTGAAACTTCTGTGTTTTCCTCTGTTACTACTGTGCCTACTTTCTTTGTTTTTCTACTTACAACTTTGTACTTTTAATTTTTTTTTCCTTATTAGCTACCACATTAAACTTTGAAAAATTTAAATATCCTCCTACTTATCTTCCTACCCATGACAAGTATCTTAAAATATTATTAATTTTATCAAAATGTGACGCTTGTCACCATTTCACATGGGTAGGAAGATTAGTAGGAAGATATTTAGTTTCTCTTGTTATAATTAGGTAGATTTATCAAAGTAATGATGGTGATTTTGAAGTATCTTCATTTCTATAATGGTCTTTATGTGGTAGTTTAAGTTTGTTTTTATCTTCTATTCCTTTTGATCATGATGCCTTTGCTTATTTCATGTACTATGTGAACAAATGTTATGTTCTCTGTGTTTTTTTATTAGAATTCAGAAGTATCTTCGTTTATTTCTGTTGCAACATTGTAACTTTTTGAGTTTTTTCTCATCAAGGCTTTTTTTTTTTAAAAAAATTCATCAAATTTTATCCTATCAAGGCATTTTACTTAGAAAAAAATATCAATTATTGCAATGTACTTTCAATTTTCTTATTATAAACACATTTAACTTTGGAAAATCAACCCACCATTTATAGCATTGTGCTTTTTGGTTTTCTTTTTGTTACAACATTGCGAGATTCAAGCTTTTTCTTACAACATTGTAAATTTCAAATTTTTTCTACTTTGAAGAATCTACCTAATATAGCTTTGTACTTTTAATTGTAATATCAGATTTCTTATTATAAGCACATTACCTTTTTTAAAATCATTGTAAGTTTCAAAAAAAAGTTTTCTTACTAAGACTATGCCCATTCATGACTAAAAGTAAAGTCGGTTGCAAGAATAATATTAAATAAATGAGAATTGGGGACAAAAGCCACCGACGGAGTGGGCACATCAACCACAAAGTTGGTATTACTTTTCTTTTCTTTTAATCCACGTGCCCTCCTTTAAATTAACCATTAGATTTTTTAGGATAAAATCATATATTTAATAAAATTTATCATTATCCACTTCAGAAAAATAAAAAAAAAATACTGAAAATCGTAATTTTTTTTACCTATAAAAAGAGTATGATATCATATATCTTCATATCCAATCCTCATTTTGTATTTTAATCCCTTTTTATTTGTATTTTCTAAATATGGATAGTGAGTTTCCAAATTTTTATATAAATTTTGGAGACTCTCAAAATCGTTCTAATGCTTAGTATTTTGAAAATTCTCCGTTTTTTTTCAAATCCTAACCAAAATCCTGTCGCAAATGATCTTCAAACATCACAAAATACTGAAAAACAACCACGAGGAAATAAATTGGATGCTGCAGAAGATGTCGCTTTAATGTCAGCATGGTGTTTTGCTAGTGAAGATAAGGAGCGTGGAAAAAACCAAAAAAAAGCATCATTGTGGGCACAAATAAAGCAACTGTATGATGCCGCTCGGGTTGAAAATCCAGAAAAGCTAAATAGCAGGAACGAAGATCAAATGAGAGGTCGTTTTAAACGGCTTAGTGAAAATGCACAAAAGTGGGTTGGTGTGTACCGGGAAGCATGGCGTCGAAGAAGAAGTGGAATGAGTCAAAAAGATATTGAAAACGAAGCTCATAAACTTTATGAGGCGAGTGGGAATAAGTTCAACGACATTATTGTTTTTAATGAAGTTATGTGTAAACATGAGAAGTGGGCTTTAGAGTTAGATCGTGACACAACACGTTCCCGTCCTGAATGTGAAGTGGGTAATGAAGAAAGTGGTGGTAGCTCGAAAAGATCAAAGACTACTGAAGAAGGGGAGTATTGTGTCCATTCCAACCCAGAAACGCCAACTAGTGATTGTTCAATAGTTAAACGTCCAACAGGCAGAGATGCAGCAAAAAAAAAGGGAAAGGTAAGGCTTCTAATGAAATTGTTACAGAACTTCGTGCAATGAGGCTTGCTAGAGAAAGTGAACTTGAAGTCATGAAAAAAAGAATCGACTTGGATAAAGAAATGCAGCAACAAAGAATCGACTTAGACAAGGAAAGGGAGCAAAAAACAGATGAAAGGGAACTCGTCAAGATGCAACTTGTGCATTTGAACACACTGCTACAAAAGGAGCATTTATCGCTTGAAGAAGAAAACATGAAACACTTTCTAATGTCGAAGTTTTATGGAAACTAATTATCGGTCATTATGTGTTTTATATTTCCACTTTGTCTTTTAATTAACTACTAGTATTCATAGGTAGAGTATTAAATGCATTAGTACTTTCATCTTTATAATGTTGTTTCTATGTTAGCATCAAATGCATTAATACATACTTATTTTCTTTTAAATGACAATGCCTATTTGAGTTTAAAGAGGAATGGGTAAGAGTAAGACCTATGGATTGATGTGATCCAGAATTTCTTTTCTGTCCTTTGTTTTATGTACATGAGTTATACATAAATATGATCCTTCTTAAACTATTCTAACTTTTGTTTCTTGTTATGCATTTTAAATTTTGAGCTAGAAGTTGTCTTTTTTTTTTGTTGGATGAAGTTTTAATGTATTTTGTTGTGGTTTTCAAAATAAAGGGATATCGATGCCACTTATATGGTGTCTTAAGGTGTCTTCTTAGTTTCTCTGCTTTTTGTGAACATTTGCTATATTCTGTTTGTTTCAAATGGTAGAATTTAGGGGGAACAAACATGTAAATTACGGTTTTCATCTTTTAAAGGGAAATGTTCTTTATATAATTTTTCCTACATGAAAATTAGAATTTTTGAGTCTCTTCTTTTTCATTGATCGATTTTCTTGGTGAATTGTTTAGAACTACGAAGATACATAACAAATCATAAAGATATTTTCATTTTATTTGTCTGAACTTCTTTTTATGTGAAAATGAAGTTGTACGGGTTTTTCTGACCATTAACTTTTGGGGGAGTTTCCTTATAATTTTTTCTATTTTGTTGTATGTTGTTGAATTTCGGGGCTCTTTCTCTTCTATATTTTTTGAGTCATGTAGTATCATTTGTGGTGCAGTTTATTTCAACTATCATACTATTCATTGAGATATCTCTTATGCTTTATCCTTCGTTAGATGGCTTATCTGCCCCATATATTATTCATGCTTTTATACATTGATTTCTTATTTTTCCACCAAATTTACTCTCTTTGAACTTATTTCTTTCTTTTTAATCTATTATTGTAATCAAGAATTTCAAGTCTGTTGATAACAATAGAGATTTTTTTAGGTTGTTGAAGCAAAACCAAATGGTAGCAACGTAACTAACTGTAAAAACTTGTAAAAATACAATTTCCCAACATCACCATCTATTATATCAATTGAGGATTAACAGACAGGTGATTTTTAAGAACTTAAAGAGAAAACCTCACTACATAAATCATACTCTACACTCAAAAATAAATCCCTCAACCTAATCTAAAACATCTACAAGAACATATTAATGATTGTTACAGACTATAGAACAAACCCTAAGACGTATACACAAATTGAGAGAATGAGAGAATGGGAGAAGAGAACTCTTGATCAAGTGAATAAATGACCCATCCCAGTTGTTCGGACCTTAAGTACCTGGGTCACACCTGACCCGAAGATCCGCATGTAAACCAGGATGATCTTGTGAAATATACACTCGACCCCCTCAACATTTCATGTATGAACCTAGAAGACCTTTTAATACAAACACTACAAAATATATCCTAATTTTAAATAACAAAATGTTAGTTTGAATATTATAAAATATTCTTTATTTTAACAGCCCCCTTAAACTAACCATTTTGAAAATATTCTTTATTTGAATATTTTGAAAACAATTATTTAGAACAAAAATGATCAAACAAACACAGTTTATCACTAATAATCTCATGTTGTGAAGACATAAGAGACTTAGTGAATATATGTACAATATGATCAGAAGAACTACTCTTAATCAATTTAACCATTCCTTTTATAATTTTTTCCCTTATGAAATGAACATCAATCTCAAAATGTTTAGTTTTATCATGAAAAACAGGATTCATAACCAAGTTAATGGTTGAATCATTGTCGCAAAATATATTTACAAGTACAGAAATCTTAAATCCAATATTATATAAAATTTTCAAAACCCAAATTAATTCACATGATAATGAACTCAAATCCCTATATTCAGACTCTGTGGATGAACGAGATATATTGGACTGCTTCTTGCTTCTCCAAGAAATAGGAGAATTGCCAAAAAAATACTATATAACCAGTAACATACTTTCTAAAGAAAAGTATCTTAGCCCAATCAGCATCTGAATATCCTTTTAACAAAAGAGAATCAGATTGAGACTTCAAGTAACTAACACATTTACCAGGACTGAGTTTAAGATACCTTAGCAACCTCATTGCTACTTGAAGATGAGCTCTAGTAGGTTTATGCATAAACTGGCTTAAAACATGAACAACATATGCAATATCTGGTATAGTAATAGTAAGGTTAATAAGTTTTCCAATAAGTTTCTGAAAATCAGTAACATTCTCCGATAAAACATCATTGTTATTATCTAACACAATATTTGACTCAAGTGGTGTCTTAATAGGTTTGCAACCTAACATACCAAAATCATGAAGAAGCTCCAAACAATATTTCCTTTGAGACAAACAAATACCATTTGGAACATTGACAACTTCAATACCCAAAAAATATTTTAATTTTCCCAAATCCTTTATAAGAAAGTGTGATTTCAAAAAATATTTTACTTTGGTTATTTCAGCCTCACAATTTCCAGTAAAAATAATATCTACATATACCAACAATATGAAAACCAATTTTCCAGAAACTTTAACAAACATAGAGTAATCATTATAACTTTATTTAAAACCAAAACTAACTAACGAATTACTCAACTTTTCATTCCACTTACGTGGAGCCTGCTTTAAACCATACAAAGACTTTAACAACTTACAAACTCTGTTGTCATTTTTACTGTGATATCCAGGAGGTAAAGTTATATAGACATCCTCTTCAAGAGAGCCATATAAAAATGCATTGTTAATGTCAAATCGATACAAATCCCAACCATAGTTAACAACTAAGGTAATAATCACATGAATAGTAACAATTTTGGCTACAGGAGCAAAAGTCTCCTCATAGTCAATGTATGCCCTTTGATTATACCCTTTAGCTACACGACGAGCTTTATACCTTTCTATTTCACCACTTGCCTTGTATTTAATTTTATAAATCCAGCGACATCCAATAGGCTTTCTATTCTTAGGTAAATCAGTTATTAACCAGGTATTATTTCTGTATAGTGCTTCCATTTCTTGATTCATAGCCTTAATCCATTTAGGATTAAGGGAAGCCTCATAATAAGACTAAGGTTCAACAGTTTTGTCAAGGTTGGAAACAAAACATTTATTATCAAAAGTTAAATTGGAGTAATTAAGAGTTTTTTCAATGCCATATTTATATTTACCTTCTATAACATAATCACTAAACCTAGATGGAACACGTGTTTCTCTCCTAGTACGTGTGATACCAATAGACTGAGTATCAGGCGATTCAGAAGCAAAATGACTACTTTCCTCAGCCCTGACAGGAGAGTTAGGAGGATGAACAGAACTAGGACCAGACCCATCAGATAAAGGCACATTGGACCCTTCAAACCTTAAACCAGTATCTGTATCTCCTTCTGTAGGACCTATTTTATCAAGATTCAAAGGAGAACTAGCACCATCTAACTGATGATCTAGTCTCTGAGTTCTATTAGAAGCATCATCATTAAAAAAAAATTAGAATATAAAGGATCATCATAGGAAAATGGATCAACCCCACTAGAACCATCACTAGACCTACTAAAAACAGGATTTTTCATTCTGAACGGGAACACAGACTCATAGAATTTAACATCCCTGGAAACAAACATAGAATTTGAATCAAGACTTAAAACTTTGTATCCTTTCTTTTCTAAAGAGTAACCCATAAAAACACACTTTCAGAACGAGCAGAAAATTTATCATTAGTATTTAAATTAGTAGAGAAACACAAACAACCAAATACACAAAGATTATCAAAATTAGGAGACTTTTTATAAACCAACTCATAAGGAGGTGATCCTTTCAGAACAAAAAAGAGTTCTATTAATTAGAAATACTGATGTAAGAATAGCGCACCCCAATATTTTAATGGAACTCCTGAGATCTTGCAACATTGAGAATATGTCTGTATTTCCTCTCCACAACTCCATTCTGTGGTGGAGTGTAAACACAAGAAGTCTGATGAATAATCCCATTATTATCATTAAAAGTTTTAAAACGAGAATTTATAAATTCAGTTCCATTATCAGTTCTTATGGTTTTAATAACAACTTGAAATTGATTTTTTAATATATTAAAGAATGTAAAATAATCTTGGAAAACTTCTTCCTTAGACTTAAGAAGAAAAACCCACGTAGCCCTAGTAAAATCATCTACAATAGTCAAGAAGAACCTAAAACCTCCTACACACTCAATCTGATATGGTCCCCACACGCCTAGATGAATAAGCTCACCAAGAAACTTAGTAACATGAAGACTGTTATGAAAAACATCCCTAGTCTGCTTAGATTTATGACAAACCTCACAAGGAGGTAAAGAAACCTTACTAAAATTAAGTTTTTTTTAGAATGTTTAAAGCATGGACAGCATGATGACCAAGTCTACTATGCCAAGTAAACTTAGATACACAACAAACATTTTTTGAAATTAAGGATTTACTACCTGAAATATAAGGATCAAGATAATAAAGTCCCCCAGATTGATTACCAGTCTCCACCGTCCCCTTGGACTGTGAATCCTGGATATGAAAGTTATGTTCATTAAAAACAACTTCACATTTGCTGTCTTTCCACAACTTATGAACATATAATAAATTAACATTGAAATTAGGAACATCAAAGACATCAAACAGAGTAAGAGAATTTGATAATTGCATGTTC